AGCCTAACCTTCTATGATTCGGTGTATGTGTACATATAATACCACCTTATGTTCAAGCATAACAATAATTTTTCAATCTGGTGTTGTAGTTTGGCCCCTTTGCTTTGGTGCTGCATATAGCAACACACTGGTGACCACCGACTACTGATCTGGTAAGTAAGCGAGCTGTCCTCCGTAGGAATCGCAATCTAACATGACAGAAAACCACCAGCTAGAGAACCCCCTTAGCCCCTCCGTGCAAATCCCACTTAGTGTAATAAGGTACGGATGTGCAGTAAGGGTAACCTATAACATGAATAAACAGTACTACGTGGGGCTGGGGCGGCACACAGAGGGAACACACACACAGAGGGGACTGTAAATTTATGTAGAATTTGGCCCATTTTAATGTATTGAGTTAGTACTAGAGATAGGAGTGAACCAGAACCCCAGGCCAAACAGCCCCACATGTGAGAGGGTCTTACATCTGGAACAAAACTTGGCTTTGAATTTCACAATTAAGAGCTGCTCTCTAGAATGAGCTCAACTGGGACTGCAAACTGAAAAACACCCACAAACATTGAGGATGAGCAGTGTCGAAACTGAGGTCCAAACCTGGATCTGCATTCTGTAGCTCAGTTTAATTTCTGCTAAGAGCTCGTCTATATGAGGATATATACCATCATTACTACTGGTATAACTCCCACCTGTGGACACTGATCCAGAACAACAGTGGCCTTTTTTCGGTTTTACTTATGTCACTTTTATAATTATACCAGTATAGGAACGCCAGAACATTTCCCCACATGGACAAGACTTAGTGCTTTTAGCATTCAGTTAAAAATAATAGAAGGCCAGATTTGGAAACTGGCCCATGAGTTGGTGCCTACAATTCTGCTCATGCAAACAGTGTCTCCACAAGCCATTCAGGTAATGGGATATCTATTTGTGCATACAAATGTGCTAACTGCACCCTAAGTAACTGCCCACAGTTGAGGCCTCTCATAACGCAATGCATAATTTTAACTTGATCCTCACAATGCTGTAGTTGTCATGGCATATGGAATAAAAATGTTGGCTTGATAACCCCCCGAAAAGGACATCAAAGTCATATTATCAGCAGGGCAGAAAATCATAAATAAAACAGCATCAGTTCAGAGTTTAGTCTAAAAGTGCATCCTTAGCTTTATCATTTTGTGATCACATCCTGTTCTCTTTCTCTCTTTCTCTCACATACACATGGGGAAACACACACACACACACACACAGAGCTATCCCTTGGGTACAGTGAATTGGGGGTCTGCCCCAGGCCCTGCGCTTTGTGGGGGCCCACGGGTGGGGAGAGGAGGTGGATGGGTGAGCGGGGTGAGGAGGCGAACAGGGAGGTGAGCAGGGGGAAGCGAGGAGGAGCCCCCCTAACAGAACCTCGCCCTTCCCCAGCGTCTCCTGCCCACTGGCAGGCCCTGCCGATCAGCACCTCCCACTCCCTCCCAGCACCTACCACAGATCAGCTGTTTCGCAGCGCCAGGAGGCACTGCAGGGGAGAGGGAGGAGCAAGGGCGCAGCGTGCTCAGGGGTGGGGGCGGAACTGGGTGGGGAAGAAGCAGGGCAGGAAGAAGCAGAGTTGGGGTGGGGCCTTGGGGGAAGGGGTGGAATGGGGGTGGGGCCTGGGCGGAGCCAAGGGGAGCACCCCCCGGCAGATAGGTGCTAAGTTTCTAATGTCCCGGGCCCCACACCTCCCTAGGGACAGCCCTGCACACACACACAACACACACACACAGCTCCCAGTAGGGATGAGTGAATTAAATGCCAGGAGAAAACACAAACCCACACGTAAATTGCAAATTTTGATTTTTTAAAATCTGAACTAGAACAAACCCACCCTTAGGGTCAGGTACTTGGAATCTAAATCAAAATGGTAAATTCTGGGGGATGGGACTGGGACGGTGGCTGTTTAATGAACATTTGCCCATTTAAAGTCCTTGTCCCCAGGGGAAATGGGGACAGAGGTGAGCGAAGGGCAAATCATAGGCTAAACTCCATACTTCACCCTCAGAGAGCAGCTGATGATCAGGGAAATGACTAAAAATGGCAACAGGTGTCCAGATTCATACTCCATCCATGAATTCTGGATCAAATTTGCACACTTTACAGGTGAAAACAAGATTGTTTCCCAACAACCAGCACCCCACACTAGCCTTTGCAAAGAGTGTGCTTTCTCCTTCATACATTGCCAGCCAGTGGAAGTGAGCTGGAAGTATACTGATGTGTAAACAGACTAGAATACCTCTTACTCCTTTCGGAGGAATAGAGAGGAGGGGGTATCAGCTGTTTAGTGCTGACACTGAGCTGTTTATGTTACAACAGTATTAACACTGGCTCCTTTGGTAGTGTTTGTAGGGAATTTGAGTGTTAGTGGGTGCCACAGAACCAGCTGAAAAACCAGGCTGGACATTTGCAGCTATGCCAGAAACACTCTCCCCTCAACACAAAGCAATCAAACCAATAATCACAGAATTAGCCACCCACTGTCCTACAGATGTAAGCCAGATCCAAAACTCTGGATGCAAACATGTACAAACCCCATGCCCCTAACTTTGGGCCACTTGAAATCTGATCCTGAAGTTTACAAGGCCCCCCTACCTTCCTAATGTGCTGAGCCAGAACTCCAGGTTCTAACAGGTCCTAACAGCTTTAAGTGTTCCCACTCCAGCTCTGAACGCTGCAGCCTGAGCCCATCTTTACTGGCCCATACCAGAAAAAGGTGGTTAGTAACTTTTGGAAGCAAATAAAAAACAACCTCTATAAAACCATCTTCTTGATACATTACATCCCTCTTACTCAGAGATGGATTAAGATTTACTGGGGCCCTGGGCACAAAGAACATTTGAGCCCCCCACACCCAGGCACAGGGCCCCACCCCCTGCTCCTCCTCTTCCTCCCCAAGGCCCTGGCCAGGCTGGAAGTGGGAGACAGACGGTAGCAAAAGCTTCCCAGGGATCCCGGGCCACCTACCCTGGGTGGTGGGCCCTGGGGGGCAGGGACACGGACTGGGGGTTACTCTTGGGCACGCTGGCCCCCTGCCCAGGGCAGGTGGAGGGTCTGGGGCTCCCCACAGTGCACAGGTGCCAGCTTCCTCCAGCCTCTGGGGGTGCTCAACCCCCTGCTCTGACCTAGGCCTTGCCCCCTTCCCCCAAACCCCCACCCCGATTCTTCTCACCCAGTTCCACCCCCTCCCTGAGTGGGCCCCTTTCCCCCGCGCCTCCCTCTCCCCTCAGCACCTCCTGCATGTTGCAGAACAGTTGATCGCGGTGGGTGGAAGGCACTGGGGGGTGGGGAGGCTGCTGGTGGTTGCAAAGCACCTGCTAATTTTTTTCCCTGGGTGCTCCAGCTGGTTGCAGTGAGCAGCAAGAAGTACCTCTGGCAGAATAGCCCCCTTGCGCTGCACAGAATGCCCCTCGGAGGTAACAGTCAGAGCTGCCGGCTCGCAGGAAAACAAAACCTCCTGTGAGCCCCATAGACAGCCCAGTGATGGGAGAGGGAACCAGAGGCTAGTCCCGCTCACCAAGCACTCTTGGTTACACATGGGCAATCTAATGAAGGCAGTGGGGTTAGGGCTGTGTGGGGCTCACCTGGGGGCAGGACCCGAAGGTGATGGGGAAAGGGAGGATGTGGCTGCACATGGGTCACCTGAGGGTGTGACCTGAAGGTGACAGGACAGTTGGTGTGGGGACCAGAGGTCAGGATGTGGCCTGCTGAATCATTCCTGCTGGTGATGCTACAAGGCTGGGAATACCTTCGCATGACTCCCAGCTCCTGGGGAGTTTGAGGCATTCGTGCCACTGAGACAATAAGTGAGTACAGGACCCCGCGAGGTGGGTTTGACCGTCACTCACCAGAACAGAGCTGTGCAGTGAGTCACCGTTTGCTGGTGCTGTCATGGGGAGCCGCAAGGTCCTGCTCAGCGGGGGCACAGGGAAGGAGCTTCAGTCCCTGACAGAGAATACCGAGCAAGGAAGGGACAAGGCAAGCCCTTGCAAAGGCTCCTTCCAGCCCAGATGCTGCTCGTCCTCATCCCCTGCATGAGCATCTTGTGCCCAGATGAGGTGCCAGTACCAGGGCATGGCTGAGCACTGCCACCAAGAGGCAGACTGTGGTTGCTGATGGAGACCACAGCTTCCAGCAAACCCAGGGTAGCAAGTTTGGGGCCTGGGAGACCTGCGGGGGGGAACCTGAGACCCAAGTCTCCTGGAGAACGATGGGGTGAGCCCAGGGAATGGGGGGGAAGTCTGGAGTGAGGGGAGGAGACTCAGCGGGTGGGGATGGGAGCAGGGGTTGGGGGAGCAGGGGAAGAGGTGCCTGGGAGAGCTCTATGTGGGGGAGGGGAATTTAGGCACCCTCCTATCTACCACAGCTGGGCAGCTTCCAGCCTGGCCAGGGGTGGAGCCTCAAGGGGAAGAGAAGGAGCAGGGCAGCAGGGCCCTTGGTGGGGGGAGAGGAGAAGCTGGGGGTGGGGCCAGAGTTCCAGCACTCCTGAGGGGGCCCATAAATTGGCTGGGGTTCCTGGGCACGGGCCCCATTGGCCCATGCAGTAATCCACCACTGCTCTTACTAATTAGGCTACTGATTCCTCCAGGGACTGACCACAGCAACTCCAACTGAAATTCACCGTAGCTACAGGCACTCAGGATCTGACAGGATCAAATATGTCCTAAGCTAACACTTCAGAGGAACTTAGGGCCAGAGCCTCAGCTAGTGTAAATCAGCTTAGTTCCATTGACTTCAACAAAGCTACACTGACATACAGCCACTGAAGATTTCACCCACGCTGCTTAGTCCATCATTTCCACAGTGCCTGGAACTAACTTTAAATAACCCATTAACAGGCTCACTGTATTAAAGACAGTAGAGGTACTTCACCTGTGAAATCAACATATGGACAAGCAATCACATGACAAACTAATGACAAAAGGATGGAAACAGCTCCAAGCCATAGAATAATTATCACCAACAATGGTTACCTGGGGCATTCTGACCCTGCGTGTAAGTCTAGGAGGTGGTTGTATTGTGACAGCAGAGGAAGAAAGTGCAGAGGAAGAGAGAAGAGCAGATGAAGAGAATGAAGTGTCTGCAGTCTTTTAAAGGAAAGAAAAGTTGGTCAGCTAAATGCATGATTTCTTATCAGAATCACTGCTATCATCTTTTGTGATACGAGCATCCTTTATATATACACTTAAATTTGGTGCACACATTGCAAACATCACTCCATGCACGAGACAACACACCCTTCTAGCTTATCCTTCTTTGCTTACAACTGTACTGCATTTTAAAATACGCAGAATGTTAAGCTTTTGTTAAGCTGCTGGCAATACATAAAGATGCTAAACTATATGCTTTTGTAAAGCTTAGATACAATTTTGGTTAAGATCCTGGTTAATTTCATATTAAAAAAATATAATTTGGCAGCATGGAACACAATCTCAGAAGGCATTTTTCCCTCTCTTGTTTAATTCTGACCCAGATTTTATGTTGCATCAAGATCATCTTGTTACAGGAAAGGGGAAAGGAGTCAGTTCCAAACCTCTCATTTTGAAGCTGCCAAAGCCACAGCCTGGGTGTAAGCAAGAACAACTGAGGGGGCATCTGTAACTTACTCCAGCTGGTTATGGTCTCCAAGGGACCATAAATGAGTCGAGATTTGGCAGAGTGGGGGGTGCTGAAGCCAACTATGCCACCTCCTGCTAGTTGAGAGCTCCCCTAAGATTCCTCTGTCCTTTTCATGGAGCATAGCTTGCTCTTCAGCTAGAAGCGTATATATAATTTTAAATAACTGACTCACTCTTGGGAGAAAACACTACTGGCTTTAATTCTTATTTGCACTAAAGTCCTTTTATCCCACTCTGGCAGTGTAAAGGGGTGTTACAGTGGGTGTTAGTGACATTTACATAAAGGGACGTGTAGGGTAAATGAGAATCGGGCCCACTGAGTTTGTTACAAGAAAAAGTGACTCCTGCACTTTAACTAGGTGGCTGTGCAAATATACAGACCCCGGCTAGAGGTTCACAGCACCTCAGGCTCCATTAGGATGAGAACAGCATAGGTGCTTTCTCTAACTAGGATTAAATTTATGCTTCAGGGCATAAACTGATCACTAGTTAGGGTAAGGAAGGAATTCCCTGTAGTCCATTGTTTTTGTACAGGGAGGTGAATTGCATGGAGGCTGTGTTATGCCTTCTTCTGCCACATCTAGTAATGACTACTGATTGGGCCAGGATAGCAGACTAGACGAGGCTTTGGAATATTTGGCAAGGCAATTCCTACTTTCATGCCTATTCTCAACTAACTCTTGCTACATCCTTGCTGAATCCACTTCTAGGCCATTTTAGCCCTCTGCATGCTGGAGACGGTATTGCTAACAGCCACTAGCTAGCTACAGTCCATAAAGGGATAGGCAACAGCTACTGGCTCTGTGCGGCCAGCTGAGCAGTAAGGATTTGAACACACAAGTAAGCGTAGGGTTTCAGAATAGCATACACATGCAGGAGAAGTACCTTGTTTGCTCTGCTTCGAATCTCTCTCAGTTCACCTGTCCTTGTGCCTCTTTTCTCAGCATTATTTCCCTGCTCAGTAGTGATTAGCTCCTGACATAATTGGCTTTCCCCAAAGGAAGCAAAGGGTCTCTTTTCTGGGCTCATACTCTTGTCTAGATTTGATGTTTTCAGGCAACCCTTCACAGAGGTCTCGGGCATGGGATTAGAGCCTTTGTCTGTCTCCTTCCAACCCTCCCTCTCACTGTTTCTGCAGCCTTCTCTATTATTTTGGACCTTGGTTTGGTTACCAATGACGTCACTGAGCTCGGAGAGGAAGCTCTCGGGTCTCCCAACAATCGAGTGAGGGGTCTGACAGCTGCTCAGGTTGGGGGGAGGGCAGCCAACAAACTTTTCTTCACTTTGCGGAGTGGTATGACTGAAAGTGTGAGCAGAGGACGGTGGCCTGGAGGGGAAAGATGGCAGTGTGGATATAATGGACAGTGGCGTGGAGGAGCCCGAAAGGTTAGAATGGTGAAGGCTAACAGAGGGGGAGGGGCTGGCTGCAGCTGAGGGTGAGAGATAGTCGATGGGACAGAGACAGTCTTCGGGGACAGGAGGCAATGCAGGGGTTATGACAGGAGTACTGCTAGGAGACACTCCCACAGTCAGGGAAATCCACTCCGTCGTGATAGCCTGCACCTCTGGAGACAGGGTGTGGCGTGAGAAAGGCAAAGGTGGAGGAGTTGGTGTATGGAGCAGCTCAGAGCCAGGAGACTTAAAGGAAAGAAAAGGAAAAAAAGATAGAAATAAGCCAAATGACAAGGAAAAGTACAAAATTCTCAAACACACGTGAAGGCAGTGGGGAAATGAAGAGTGAGTGCAGGAAAGCAGGCGACACAGCATGGAGGATAAACTCTCGCTGGGGGCTTCATGCAGACTGCGAATCCTTACTCACACTGAGTAGTACCTTGCCCCTCAGTTACTGGAGCTGTGGGGCTGCTGAAGGAGCCAGCATTACTACAAGGCAGGGAGCATCCCGGGAGTTGGCTCTTTGATTTTAAAGCAAGTTCTAGGCTTATGAAGCTGGAACAAAGATGGGCTGAACTCTGCCCTTGTGTGGGGGTGCAGGGCTCTTGGCCATGATGGGCTTAGAGCTTTCCCTGATCATATGTGCGCACCAGCCATGCTTTGCAGGAAACAAGAACGAAAGGAAGAAAACAACTGCTTTTACTGAGAGAATTAACAGAACTTCTGAAAAAACAAAGAAAGGGTGCGTACAGGACTTCCAAACCAAGGGAAAAGCTGGCAGCAAGGCGGCAGCAGGCATGCCACGGCGACGTAGGATGTGCCAGGCCCACACATACTGTAGCTAAGTTGAGATTCACTTTTTCAGGGAACCCCAAGAAAGCAAGCACTGTCTCCTCTTCACTTAATGGCAAGGAACAGAAATACCTGCTAATAAGACCACTAAAGGAAGACAAGGACAAAGACACTGACTGTAGCCCCTGAAATTTCCAATCCTTCTCTAGTCTCTGTTGCATGCCCCAACCTCCTGACTCTCCTTCCCCAGCATTACGCACTGGAAGGTATTGTTGTGGATGTTGAACAGAACCAGCTAACACCTTCTCTTCCCTCCCTCACCCAGGGACTCAGGCCCTGTGTCTGCACATATCATGTATGTGCTTAACTTTAAAGCAAAAATGTTTGCAGGCACAGGGTGAAATGTATCAAAGGCTATAGAGCCCCACAGCCAGACCTGGATCTGAGATTGCCACTACAAACAGGACAGACTGCAATCCCAAACTGCCACCGGCCGCTGTCTCTGTGATGAATTTAATTCCCCAGTTTTGCGCTCCTAAAGGGGTCAGACTGGCAGGCCCTAGAGACTCAAGCCTTCCATTTAGCTACTGACCATGTACAGCATGGGCAATGGTAACTCAGGCCTCCGACACACTGTCCTGCCTAGCTGTCTCAGCCCTAAGCTGGAGTTGCTATGTGGAGGGATAATTTAGACCTTGATCTAAATCCCATTGAAATTGATGGAAGGACTGCCGCTGACCCCTTTGTCTCAATACCCTTTTAATCAAACAGGATGCCCATCAAAGTGATGGTTTGACTTGCGTAGGCACCGGTCTCATCAAACTGGACCAAAGTCACTGATTTATCCCCACAAAGGCACTGAAATTCACTCAACTTGCTATCCTTGCCAACCTAGCCAAGGTTCAACCTGTGATCAGAGATGAAATGCTTTCTGTTCTGTCCCAGTCCTCCCAGCCACTCAGTCTTTCTGGTAAACGAAGTGTAACCCCTTCGGCTCAGCTTTCCCTGGGCCGGTACAATGGGAGCGAACTGGACAGGACAGATGGTGCTGCTGCACAGTACACCCTAACCTTGGCTGGGGATTTCTTCCTGCACATAAATGACTGCGGCCTATTGTTCTGTAAGGTCTAGTAACTGGCTACATCCAGTCTGGGTACCTGCGGGGAAGCCGTTGTGCTGCGATTAGGTGAGTGAGACATCGGCAGCTCAGGGTAATCAACAGCATTCTTCACTAGTGGCCGCTTGAGCATGTCCACGTAAGTGACAGGGAAGATGCCTTGGCGGTTGGTGCCAGAGATTTTCCCTTCATACCAGTTCTCATCAACTCGCCGAATCACCGTGATCCTTTCGCCCTGCAGGAGAGAACCATCACATAGCACTGATGCTAACCCAGCGTGTAAACCTGCAGCACAGGAGATGAGAGCCCTCGCCCCAGTTGAATTCAAGCCCTCTGTGGCATGTAGCCCCACCCTCCTTGACATGGCAGCATGTTTCTGAGTTCAGCTGACTGGGGAGGTTCACCTGTCCTGAAGCTAGCTCAGGCTGTCTGCAGACTCAGGCAGGCAGCAGTCACTCTTGGGTCACATTTAACAGAGTTTCTTTGCATCCAGGATGCAAGAAACATTTTTTTAATATGAAAGCTGAGGTTCTGATCTCATTGTGTGACTCCCAGAGCAGAGTCCCCAAGCCTTGCCCCCAATCCTCTTCCCTTCTGTTCTGCTTTCAAAACACACAAGAAAGACTTTTGAATCCTGATCATAAACTGCAAGCTCCAACCTTGAATAAAATGAAAAAGACAATAGGGAACATGGAATTTTAATATCAACACACGTGCAACTATCTGCCAGCTTTGAGATGGAGAAATTTTGCTGTTTAAGGTACTTTAATAAATGCGTTTAGTTCTGCTCTGAAAAGTGACTGTGAAAATGGCACCTGCTTACTCCCTGTCTGCATTCATTGCCTTACGTGGGCACTACAGTAACACAGATATGTGTTCACTTCTGTTCACTCTTGTGAGCTGGTTTGGCTCAGCAATGCTATGGGAGAACAAGCTAGTCAGTAATTCATCAATGGAAAGTTAATGTTCCCAGTGCAGAGTCACATTCTGCACCTGATTTTACACCCATGCAACCCCAGTGATGATAATGGGGCTAAACAGGTGTCCCTCAAGGCCTAATTTAGCATGCAGAACCACAGCACCAGCACTGCACCCATGCTAGTCCCTCTGGAGGGGGAATACAGCACGCGCGTGCTTTCTTGGATATAGACAGCCTCCCTGCAAAACACTCATCACAATCAACTATGGTGATGGGTGCTGAATAAAACCCCCAAGGATTAGATTAAGCTAATTAGATTATTCTAACATGCACAAAATGGTTGCCAATTTTAGTGGATCATCTCCTTTGAAATGATGCACCATCTGGTTTGTTTTGATAAATGCTTTCACCCAATGAGGGTCCTACCTTTCTGAATGACATTTCCACTCGAGTATCCCCATTAAAGTTAAATTTAGCAACAGCATCTCCGTACTCCAATACTTGCATTGCGGCAAGCTTTTGGGGCTGGGCTTTTTCAGCGGGCGGAAGTAGCTGAAAGAAAGAAATGAAGTCCAATGACCCATCAGGAGCCCACAAGCGGGTTGCTCTCAGGAGGAGCTGTGGCTCTGGGATGAGAGCATTTCAAAAGGAAAGAGGTACCTCTATGTAGGAGCGTGGGAAGATGCCGACTCTGCCATGGTGTTCTCCTTCATACCAGTTCTGGTCAATCTGCTTGTAAATGTACACAATGTCTCCTTTTTGAAGAGGAAGTTCCCTGTTAACAACACACTGGTTACAGCTGAACTGAATACTGTCCACAAACAAAGCACAATGAATTTCACTGCAGGAGAGAGAGGCTGTGTATATTCACCCTGGTCATCCGAAGTGCCATCCTATATACCTGCTGGGTATCTCACACTTTCCAGGGTGGTGCCTATCAACCCATCTGCTGCAAGGTGGGTTTGGGAAGAAGCATATAAATCACACTCAACCCTCTCATCTAGATGCTACCCTGTTGTTCTTACTATGAGATACCAAGGTTTGCTCACTGTCTGGGTGCATTATGGGTGTGGCTTTCCACAAAGGAGGTGTGGCCAGACCTCACTGAACATGCTCCCCTTCACAAGCAGGGGAAAGGAAAGTCAAGGAAGTGTTAAAGCACTAGCCACTGGCTGTCCACTGGCAGTGCCCACTTTCCTACTTTGGGTCAATCATTTCGCCTGCACACTTGTTCACTTCACAAGGAGATAAGTGGGACAGGACCATTTTGAGAGAGTTTAAGAGGAAGCTAATTTGCTGATAATGGAAGCACTATATATATATGACACTCCAAGACATTCATGGCCAGCCAGCCTTTGCAAACATTACGGACTTTGCTTGGACCAGCAGTGGGATTTGAACTTGGAAACTTCAGCTGGAAAAGCAGGAACTTTTCAGCTTGAACAAAAGGACTAACTCCCATCATGAGCAGCTGTATCATACTCTCAAACCTCTTCTATGGGCCAGCCAACAGTGAATGACAAAAACCCACCCTGTCCTCTCCTAACATGGATGACACAAGCGCCTCTCTCTCTTGGCCACATCAACATCAAATGTACACAGTGAGCAGGTGAAAAACACTGTTCTCTCAGGCTGGGATCTGAGCAACCAACTAGGTTCTTCCTGCCTGTTAAAACACCACCAGTAATAAAGATACTGCAGGCAGGACACAACTGGCAACTCGGCTTATGATGGATGAAGTGGAGTTGAATCCAGCTCACCCTCCAGGAGGGGCTAGCAGGAACAAACACTTTCCTGACAAACAAACAAACTGGGTTTGCCTCAAAGACATATGGGGAGCAGATGCACAGAGTATACAAAGCTACTCTACTGACTTGAAGGACTTGCTTTGAATGACTGGATCGAGACACACTCCAGAAACATTAATCAGTCTTATTATACATCCTAAATGTTGCATGATATGCAGAAAAAGCAGACAGAGAGAGATAGAAACAGCAATATCAAGATATACTCACTTTAGTGTCTGTGCTTTGAAGTCAAACTTGGCTCTAGCAAGTCTCATCTAAAGATTGAAAACAACAAATTAAAACAACAATTATGTTTTCAACCCATTACTGAAAAGGCTATGGAAATGCTTCCCAGCCCTTTCAAAGACTAGCACAAATCTGGGGGTGAAACTAGCAGATCTTAGTTCAGATATTCTGCTGCATGCTTCTTGCCCCAGAGTCCAGATCCGCTCTGTGGATCTGGAGGACTTATCCCTCAATAGGCCAAGTGCCACCTTCTGGTATAAATGTAACCAATGGCAAGGAAAGCCCTACAGCGGGGAGTTTAATGGAAGTAAATGTTTAAACATGTGACCATGTCAAACCTTGCTGAACCGGACAACTGCCCCAGTCACTACAATGAGTCTGTGGATTAAGGATCAAATTCCCCTTGGATAAAGGAAAAATTTGCTGGCCAGCAGAAGGCAATAGGGTGATATTCACATGGGACTCACACGCCACTGAAAATCTATTGTCCACCTGCACCGTGGCCCATGTGCTACTATGGTCACTGTTTCAATTGGTAGGAAAGAGACAAAGGCCAGGAGGAATTGAAGAAAAATAAGCATGTGTCTAAAACTGTCTCAAGTTAGTTAAAAAGATAAATAGGATGTGTTAAGAGCACGTCTATCGACAGCTTTTAGGGGGTGATTTTGTTGGCTGATTAAAATGGTCCTAAAATATTTTGACAATTTTTAAGCCACTATGGCAATAAAATAATAATATAAAAATAATTAGCAATTTTAGAAATAAAATAATTATAGTTGTTGGTAATATAATAATCATAATAACTAATAATTGATTTAGTTGGGGATTGGTCCTGCTTTGAGGAGGGGGTTGGACTAAATGACCTCCTGAGGTCCCTTCCAACCCTGATATTCTATGATTCTATGAATATTTTACACTCACATGGCACCTTTCATTCTGAAAGATCCCAAAGCACTTTAAAAACAATGGGTTCATTTCTGGCCTCAGTTACACCCATGCAACTGAGAGCAAAAGTTAGTCCTGCACACAGGAACCACCTCACTCATCACTGAAATGCAGCCACCTCTGGGGTGAAATACAGCAGCTGTTTAACAGCACACAGCAATGATACACAACGCTTTAAGGCGGGAAGTGGCATGTGGCCACCTAAACACCCCAACTCTTGTGAAAAGTGCCATGGGAGGACTTGAAAAGCATCTCCTCCTTTGTCTCTTTTAGAGGGACTAAATCATGTAATATTTAGGAAACATGCTGGGAATTCTTCCAACTCTTTCCTAGAGCAGTATGGAGCGTCTTTCAAAAGAAGGAGAACAGCATAATCTATTTCTAACAAAAATACAGGACAGTCACATGACCAGGATCAACAAGACATGAAGTTTCTAAGCATAAGGCACAGACAAGAAGACAATGTAGCAGTCTGATGCAAGGGATGTAAAAGGCCTTTGATTCACTAAAAGTAGCTGATATTTAAACGCATGCATCACAGGTGTGCACCAGCAATTCTCAGCAGGCATGCTTTAACATATACAGCTTGGTATAGAGATATCAATTAATTTACCAGGCACAAGAGCCAAAGCAATTCTAAATGAAGCCAGAATGGGAAAAAAATAAAACATTCTCTGGAGAGCTAATGTCGGCCTAAAGCGCAACATTGTGAGAGGCGAATATTGCATTGGGTCAAGCAGCAGACTGAGGTAACTATAACAGACCTCTGACCCAGATTTCCTCTTTGCTGTATCGTCTACATTTAGGAGGTCCCCAAACCGCTCATTAGTGATAAACTGATGGTGCGTTGGAATAACCCCTGTGTGCCTTCTAGCTGCAATATCAGCTTCTTCTTGCTCACGTTTAAGTCGTCTCTGGTCCTCTAAAAGTTTCTGCCATAAAATTGCATAAAATGGGCAGTAAATCATCTAGTTTAGGGCATTTGAAAACTGCCAGCAAATGTGACTTTAATAAAGAACTTCAGAGGTGCTGGCAAATAGCAGCAGCTTTAGAGAAATATACACGATCAATTCTATCAGCTACACAATGGTTCCCAGTTGATTAGCTTGGCATATAAAATACATTCCATTACAGTTTTTAAGTTTTTAAAAGCAGATTATTGGTAGTTCTTAATGGGATCATTTACAATGAAAAAACTCAGCATACCAAGGACCCGATCCAAAACCAATGGACGTCAAAGGAAGTCTTTCCACTGACTTCAGTGAGCTTTAGATCAGGCCCAGATGGTCATTTAGGCACCTAACTCCCATTGACTATCAATGGAAGTTGAGTGGCTAAATGCCCTTTGTGACTTTGCAGATCTCTCTCTAGTTGCTTATGGCTCACATAACAAACATCATCTAGTAAAACAAGTAATTCTCTCTAACAAAGTATTTCCGACTTCCCCATCCTTTGGCAGATTAGTGGAAACGAGGGCCCTTGATCCCGCATTCCATGGGCGTAAGAGTCCATCCACCTGGATCTGACTGCAGGAGTGGGGTCCAAGCTTTGTACTAACTCACCCAAGGGCCTTAAGTGCCAATGAATTCAGATAATTGCTATTCATATATTTTACAATGTGAGGAGATAGCAAAAGATGTGTTTGCACAGAAATTAAAAGGAGGGCTTAAAAATATTTCAAAGCAACATGTTAAAATTATTCAAACTCAGAATATAACATGATTCTTCAATGAAAAAATATCCCCCAGTTTAAGTCACTGGCTTTTCAGAGAAGCAGATAGGTGGCTAATTAAAATTAGTAACCTCCCAGAGTGCCAACAGTTTGTATCTTTCTTCAATATCGAATTTAGCCAGTGTTTGGAAAGACTGGGTGGTTCCCTTATGATGTTAGTTTGTATATATACTGGCCAACAATTTCAAAAGGGGCTGGTGAATTTTGGGTGCCAAACAGAGACACAGTAATGTATTCAGAGATGGAATATTCAGCTCTTTCTGAAAATGAGACCCATTTAAAATGTCTCAAATTGGGCACCCAAAATTGGGTATACCCAAAATCACTAGTTGCTTTTGAAAATCTTGTCTTTACTAATTAATGCTTGGCTGAAGAGACTTTGCTGACACCATGTTAGCTTATAGAAAGACCACTTTACCCTCCTGTAAAGCACACCTGCTGAATTATAACAACACAGTACATCCTTACTATATCGTCCTTCATTATTACGAACCTTTGGCCATAACGAACCCGGTACCTTGATCCCAACTACAGTCCCAGAGCCCCAGCCCCACTGTGCGGGGCTCATAGCCAACTACCTGGAGTCCCACTCCTGCGGGAGCTGACTGCCTGGAGCCCTGACACCCACAGCTGAAGTCACAGATGTGACCTAAACTCACACTCCCTGATTGACTCCTAGCCTCAGGTATCATTATTAATAATAAATTAATGTAGCGAACACTTTCATCTAAGGCCACTTCATTAACTTACTCCAGCAGTGTATCATTCATTTTGATTGTCCTTTCGCTGTAATGAACCCCTGGCTATCATGAACAAAAGGCTTGAATTCCAACAGGTTCATTAGAGCGAGGGTGTACTGTACTTCTCTAACAGATCTCAAAATACTTTGCAAACACTAATGACCCCTCATGTCATCCTTGCATGGTTGGTAAGTATTATTTTCCCTATTTAAATACTGGGTAAGTTGAGGCACAGAGAGGTCAAGAAGTGACTTGCCCAAGGTCGTACAGCAAATCAGTGGCAGATGCAGTAATAGAAATCTGGAGTCCCTTGTTCTAACTACTACATAACACTTCCTCCATAAGTAGGTACAGAGATGCAGAGGCTATGTAAGGGCAAATGGTGTACTTCCTGTATATTTAGCTGTTAGAAATGTTTCTAAACCACAAGGAAGGGCTTTACCTCTTTATCATCATGACGTCTACGAGTAATTTCTTCTGGAGTTTCCATGTAATCGACTGGTGCAAAATGCCTTGGTGATTCTGAATCTACTTCAAAACAACACAAGGCAGTTAAAAAACAAATGGACTTATCTTGTGTCACCAGAAAGGAAAAAAAATATTTTGACAGCACTACAATTTGCTTCCATTACAGCTGAAAGGATTTTCAGTTGTTGACCAAATTCTCAGTCAGATATTGATAATGTTTTGGAATTTTTTTTTCCCTTTTGGGCTGTACTTGAGAACACAGATTGAAACAAAGGATAATACAAAGGTGGGAAAGCGAGTAAAAACATAAAAAGACTTTGTGAAGAAAAGATTTGCTGCCATTGAAATATGATTTAGCATATTACTGTCACCACCCATGCAAACACATACAAACATGATTGCACACTCAGAAACAGAGAGACACAATTAGACCTGGAGGAACTGCTCCTTAGAAAACCAAATTAACTGGGTTGATGTGTTTTATTCACACATATGCAAGTGGTACGGGATTAAGAATATCTCATTGCAAGATTTTCACATTCTAGGAGTTGCCTTTAAGGCAAACTGAGCTGGATGGCAGCTGTTAACGAGTTCTGAACAAAAATGCTAAGCAAGACACGCAAAGGACATCAGACACACGAGGAAAATGAGCATTGGGTGATGCACAGGCGGGTCAACAAAAAATACGGAGAAAAAAGTGAAGTGGGAAGACGGGAAGACAGATAAAGTAACAGTGGTAAAGTACACAAAAAGCCACCTCCAGGGTATGTCCTGAGTTCGCTTTGCGGGTTGTTGTTTCTATCCAAGCTGTGATAGAAAGCACATGGAACAATATTCCCATTATTAAAGGAGTCTGGCGTATCAGCTCGGAGAATGGCACTTTCTGGACTGGATTCCATGCTGGGGAAATGGCTAAGCCTTTCCACAATTTCAAAGGAAGACAGGCGCTTGGGGGCCAGAGGTTTGTCTTCACAGCACAGTTTGTGCAGGGAGTGGTGACTCTTTTCCGCCTGGCATCCTCGTGGCTGAGCTGCATTATTCTGGTTCTCAGTGCTATATATTAGTGGGACTCCCAGGCAATCCGGGGGAGGAGTCTTTCTGGGGCTGTGCTGGAAGGGCTTTTTCAATCTGAAGGGAAGCGGGCTCATCAGATAAACATTTCTCAGGAGCGTGTGCCTGTCCCCGTGGGCATCCCCTTTGGAACTGGGATTCTTGGAGGCTTGCTGTTGCTCGTGCCTACGAATGGTGGTGAACCTGGTGTAGGAAGCTGGGCAAGCTCCTTTGCATTTGTTTAATTTATATTTCTGGGGCCCGTTGGCATGGCTGAGGCTGCCGCCACTGTCGTTGGATGCGTTGGACTGGAGATCAGTCTCGTCCGTGCAAGCCGAGAGCATGTCCATGGGGACAATGTCACTGAGATCTGACGCCAAGTCCTCCACGTTACTGCAGGAGTGAGAGGAGTTGTTGGCCATGCTGGCAGCATCCTTTTCTTCTTGGTTTGGCTTTGGCGACTCCAGGAGGGATTCTGCTGAATAGGCCGAGCTCAGGCAGCTCTTAGACTGGGGAGAGGTGGGCGATTTGCTTTGCCCACTGGAGAAGTTGAGAGCTGGCATGGACCGGGATCTCTGGATCAGCTGCTCAAAGGCGGTGATGCGGGATGAGACAGTGTCTTTGGGGATTTGCTCCGAATTCTCCCCACTGGGGCTCTGCTCACTCCTGTCCCTCAGCTCGTTCTCAAACTGGGATGCAATATCCCTCACACTGCAGGATGAGATGGTGCCCAGGTGGATCCTGGACCTGTTGATCTGATGCATATTTTTATACAGCATTGTAAACTCCATCCCACTCTTCCTGGGAAGGTAGCCCTTTCTAGAACTGGTGCTGTACTCCTGCAGGCTCAGAGTGCTGCTGGATTTGGTGACATACTCCTGCTTCGATTGCATTAGAAGGTTTTCTACACTTTCCCCTACATTGACCAGGAAAGTTTTTTTGTTATCAAACAAGGCACTGGAGCTACGAAGGTTCTCACAGCTTTGTGCTTTCTCATGAGGCAGCAGGATACCCTTTGTGTCCTGCACAAGAGCAGCAGGAGCAGCTAGTTTGGGTTTGAATTTGGAAGGGAGGATTTCAGTAATGCAGGCTTTTGCAGCTGATAAGGGCTTCTTATGTGTACATGCATGACCTAACATACTGGTATGACTAGCATTAAAGGTTCGGCTATTAACTGAAGAGGGTGCAATCATATGAGCATTCCCACCTTTACGATCCACTGGTAAGCATGCAGAATAAAATAAATACAACCTGTTAGCTTAAATGCTTGAAAGCCATTGAGATAGGAGAGATAACATGCTTCGATGTCACAAAATGCACTTTAAAAAATTGGTGTTCAAAAGAAAGAAAAGCAGAGAGACAATGCACAAGCCATGTTATAAAAGCGAGTGCAAAGATACAGCTAAATTCTGCAATGCTGCGGAGTTTCTAAAATCAGAAGAAGGTCCAGATTCAGGCCCGGAGCATTTGTAGGGCCCAATCCTGCCAAGTGTTGAGCATCCTCCACACCATGCAGGAGGCACTCCGCATCTAGCAGAATGTGGGCCTTAGCAAGGATGCAGAGGGATTAATATTGCAAAAGCAGCCTCACTGTGAGCCAGTGATCAGACCAACCATGGCCCTGCCCACACAACAGCTGCCAAATAAGTTATTCCTGCCAGGATCAGGCAAGTCAGGGAGCGTCTGCACTAAAACAAGTGGACCAGGTCTGCTGGCCCTCAGCAGTTGTGCTTGCTGGGAACTGGCTGAGCATGCTCTCTGCACCGTTTGCACAGTTATGTTTGCTAAAAGCAGCTGGGAGGTGAAGACAGAGACTCCTAGGTGTGATATGCTATTTTGTAGGAGGATTGGCTTGGAAAACAAAAGAACCAGCTCCTCTGCCCCCAGCCATTTTTAGCTTACAACCAGCTCAGAGATGCATCAGGCTCCTCGGCTGTCCCAGTATGCTACAAACTCCAAGGCAGAGGCTCAACAGTGTCACCAGTCTCTGCTGGGCTGGCCGCTCTCTTTGTATCTCATGGGCTCCAAGGCAATTGCCAGGTCGAGAGGCGTCCCATGCTTCTTTGAGCCAGGAGAGCCCCAGAGTGCATAGCACTGAAATAATGCAGACGTGCTCAGGCCAGCAGACACTGCTTGGCGTGATCAGACTGCACATCAGGAACAGCAGCAACAGAGGGTGGCAGTAAGAGGACATCAGAGTACTGCGGGGAGGAAGAAAAAGGGGAAGGTGGTGTTGGCTGACAGTTGGAAAGAGGGAGGCAGAAATAAGGGAAAGCAAAGGGAAGAGTCCTGACCCTATTGGTAAGCTGGAGTTGGTGGAGGATAGGGTTAAGGGAAAGCATGGCCAGGCTGGGTGGGGAGAGAAAAGAGGATGAAAGGCAGTGAAAGAGAGAGGAATGACAGGTAGATCTCACTAGGTTTGGATAAGGACCCAACCCCACTTGGTGGTTCACCCACCTCACCGTGTGTAATGGAGGGAAGGGGTCAGTGCTCCGCTAACCTACCTTTAGTGGAAGCAGAGCTAGACGGACGCTTGAGACCACTTAGCCCCTGCAGCGGGATATCACCACCTTCCAGCACACTTTTGTAAATTTGCCTTTCATTCTCCAAGCCAGCAGTGTCTGCTGGCGCTGGTTCCAGCTCTTTCCTTGCTGCCTGGTAGCTGGGTAAATATGCTGAGCTAGAAAATGGGTTAAAAAAGAAAAGAAAGAGAGACTGATTTCTCTCTCTTCCTGTGTGCTTAGAGAGCATCATGAACAGGTCAGAGGAGATCACTCGTGAACCCGTGCTTAGCGGTGCCTGTGATTCTTACACCTCTGCATGTCAATACAGCTGAGGTAAGATTTCTAGCTGAAGACCATGTATGTATTGAAATCACACTTGAAATACTTAGCATTGCTATAGCATCCTCCATTCCACTGTCTCAAGGGGCTGTACAAACTACACCTCTCTTCACACCTGAGAGACAGGGAATTATTATCCCCGTGTTCTATAGATGGGGAAATGGAAGTACAGAGAGGGTAAGTGATTTGTCTAAGGGCAGGTCTACGCTACAGATGGGATCGATGCTCTGAGATCGATCCACAGGCGGTCGAGTTAGCAGGTCAAGTAAAGACCCACCAAATGGACTGCGGATCGCTGTCCAGTCGACCCCTGTACTCTACCCCCGATAAGAAGAGTAAGGCAGACCCTGCCGTAACTCGACCTAAGGTATGTTGACTCCAGCTACATTATTCATGTAGCTGGAGCAGTGTTGCGCAGGTCGACTTACCACGTTAATGTAGACATAGCCTAAGGCTATTCAGTGGCCAAACTGGGAACAAAAAACACCTTCCAGCACCTAAGCTTCTGCTCTAACCACTATTCCTTGCTGCCTCCCATTCACAAATAGCATAGACTGTTTCAAATTTAAAAAGTATATTCCTGGGGTTAAATTCTGCCCCAACCTGCATGGCAGATCTCAGTTCTTACGTTCTTTTCTGTCCACATGCACAGAGCTCCCCTGTAGGAAGAGCAGAATACTGGAGTCCAGATCTGCCAGGCAGGTGTAAGAGCAGAATTCTGTCCCTGGCATTAGACTGTGAGATTTATGTTAAAAATAGACATGACTTCATTTGTTTAGGCCAACAGAAACTAAAGTGATTGATTAGAACTCCATGCAGGCCAAGGTTAAGGAATCTCGCTAAAGGCATGAATCTTAGAAGCAGTTTCCCATATAGTATTATTCCTACAGCTCACTGTTCTCTCCCAGACACAAAAGGTCAACATTGCCACAGTATAAATGACTTTTCCAGAGGCAGAAGACATGCTAAACAGTCAAGCAGGGTGTGTGCTTCACAGGAGCAGATCTCATCTGATACCAGTGCTTGATAGGGTTGCCAGGTGTCCGGTTTTCAACCAGAACGCCCAGTCGAAAAGGGACCCTGGCAGCAGTGCTGACCGGGCCGTTAAAAGTCCGGTTGGCAGGGCTGGCAGGCTCCCTACCTGGCTCAGTGCAGCTCCCCGGAAGCGGCGACATGTCTCTCAGGTCCTAGGCATAGGGACAGCAATAGGGGCTCTGTATGCTGCCCCACCCAGAGTGCTGGCCGGGAACTGCAGCCAACAGGAGCTGTGGGGGCAGTGCCTGCGGGTGGAGGTAGTGCACAGAGCCGTCTGGCCGCACCTCTGCCTAGGTGCCGAGGGACATGTCGCCACTTGCGGGGAGCCACCTGACATGAGTGCTGCCCAGAGCCCGTAACCCGAAACCCTCCCGCTCTCCAACCCCCTGCCCCACCCCTGAACCCCTTCCCACACCCAAACTCCTTCCCAGAGCCTGCACCCCCCAACCCAACCTCCTGCCCCAGCCCCTCACCCCCTCCCACACCCAAGTTCCCTCCTGCAGCCTGCACCCTGAACCCCCTCTTGTGCACCAACCCCTTGCTCTAGCTCAGAACCCCCTCCCACACTCCAAACCCCTCGGCCTCAGCCTGGAGTCCCCACTTGCACCCCAAATCCCTCATCCCCGGCCCCACCCCGGTGCCCACACCCCCAACTGGAGCCCACACCCAACCCCCTGCCCCAGCCTGGATCCCCCTCCCGCACCCTGAACCCCTCATTTCTGGCCCCATCCCCGAGCACACAACCCCAGCCCAGAGCCCGTACCCCCTCCTACACTCCAACCCCCTTCCTCAGCCTGGAGCCCCCTCCCACACTCCGAACCCCTCTGCCCCAACCTGAAGCCCCCTCCTGCACCCCAAACCCCTCATCCCCAGCCCCACCCCAGAGCCCGCACCCCCAGCCGGAGCCCACACCCCAACCCCATGTCTCAGCCCAGTGAAAATGAGTGAGTGAGTGAGGGTGTGGGAGAGCGAGTGACAGAGGGAGGGGGGATGGAGTGAGCGGAGGGCAGAGCTTTGGAGAAGGGGCGGGGTAGGGGACAGGGCCTCAGGGAAGGGGTGGGGAAGGGGATGGGGCAAGGGTGTCTGGTTTTGTGCAATTAGAAAGTTGGCAACCCTCGTGCCTGAGCATCTTCAGCTAGACACTCCACAATGACAATAATAATAAGATGAAATCTTATTATAACAAAGCTATACTGGGGACAAAGTATGTCCTGGTAAGTTTAAAAAAAAATCAAATCATTTGTTGATTTGAGGAAACCATCTGAAAGTTGGCTAAGACCCCATGATTCCCAGATGTATATCTGATTTGTGTGAGCAGCAATAACATACCAACAGATGTATGTGTGTGCTTGGTTACTTGGAAGGGACATGGCACCTGATGGGTACAGCTTCTTTCAATGACTCAGAAAGCCATTGATGGAGTTGGAATTACAAGACATTTGGTCCTTTCATGGGATTTCAGTTCCTAGAGTGGGGAGGAGATCATGAGAAGACCAGATCTCCCATTAGTTAGGGCCCTGGGGTAATAACATATCTAGTGAAAAGCAAAATACAATTCTTTGGCTCCCAGGCAAAACTCCTATTGGCTTCAAAGGGAACCACAGCCAGAACCACGGAAGGGTACCACAAACACAGCACTATGCAGCCTGAGTCAGGTTCCTGAGGAGCCCAAACGGGCAGCCCCAGTGATTACAGGCTGATATTTACTCCCGGGAGGTTCGTGACCTGGGAGCGGGATATATTTTAGCCCAGTAATTAAAGACCAGTGACCCAGGCAATCCTCTCTTGGGGAAACACCTGTGGGAGAGGAAGTGTTCGGGAGACTCCCATTGTTGACTTCTCCCCCATCATTGCCCACCCTGTGAAACAGGCTGCAGGGCCTGCATCGGCATGGAGACGCTATGACTCTGGAGCTGGCAGCCAGCAGCATCCCCGTGCCATGACAGCTCTGCTCCACTGAAGCCGCACTACAAAGGATTCCTCTGGCCCATGGTCACCCAGGGGAGAGGAGTGGCTCTCAAGAAAGGACAGTAAAGCCCCAGGCAGCATTACCTTTTCCACCTAAGCTCCACAGGGCTGGAAGGGGAACAATGTGCAACTCCTCCCAGGCTACCCATCCCGTCCTCCATCCTCTTTCCCCTCCCACAGCACAGACCCCCAAGTTCTTCAGTGGGGGCAGGAAGAGAGGGGAGCCTGTGCTGCTAGAGGTAGCACCCCCATGCTCTTCCACAGGGGCGGATCCATGTGCAGAGAATACCTTCCCCCTTGCATGGAAATTTCAAAGGAATGATCCCACCCCATGAGCTGAGAAACAAAAGATCAGGCAGCTCTCAGTTTCCTTAAAACATTTACTGTGGGCGCAATGTTTGGAGGTAGTCATCTAAACAGGCACAGATGTGGTGGAAGTAAGTGACGTGCCTTCACTGAAAATCTAGCCTTGGTGTATCTACATAATACAATGTAATTATATGTACACCAACATAACTTCACATATTAATGTGTACACAGACTTTTGACCATTGTACCCACAGTAAATATTGTGAGGAGAATAGATACATATGGGAAACTGATTAAACAGAATTCATTTTAAAAATTTAGAATGAAACAAACGCTTAATCTATATAACTGGTAATTATGAGATTATAACCACTCCACAGAGTTCTACGGAGGTCAAATTCAGGAATTTTGGTTCACTGCTGTCGCCAATAATGAGCATATCATTTATTTATGGAGAGCCCAACTGAACTCCTACAGCAGTCGATGGTGGAGTTTCCTTGGACTTTGGTGAGAATTGGGTAGGGCCCTGATGGAAGAATGAAGCATACTGATTTCAGATGATGAAAGTGATCCAGGAAAGTAGCAGTCAAGGTAATCTGATGAAAGGGAAGATTTACAAGACTTGGAACTCTTTGAGGGCAGTCAGGAATTCAGAATCCTTACCAGTCATTGGCAAACATAAGTGACACGTATATTTTGCAACACACTCTGATGTCCTTTAATTTTATTACCCTGCCTTTGCGAAAATAAAAATTAAAAAAAAATCATGAAATAATGGACTTGATAAGGCCAGGACACCTTCCAAATTATGATAATGGAAGGAAGTTCCTTTGCAAAGTGAACCCAGGCAAAAGGGAACTCTGCAAAACTAACTGTATAGAACTTCAAAACCACATATCATAAAAAGTCAAGGAAGATGAATATATATGAAATTTGCAGACATCAGAGGGGAAAACATGCTCGTCCCTACTCCCCATACATCTGGATTGGATAACTGTGCCTAGATAGAATACTACACATCTGTTTCAGTTAAAGAGAATAACAGGTTAACAGGGAGGTGCTAGATCCCCAGTGGTGGTAAATTGGCACATCTGGCTCTGGAATTTCCATCCAACTTTTACAGTAAACTGGTTCCATCTGCAATACATTTGGACAGAGCACATCTCCTGTTGAATCTTCCTCTAAAATAGCAGCATAAAATTGTACTCTGAGAATTATTTAATTGCTTTCTTTGCCTAGAAAGTTGGAGGTGGGACCACTCATTGGAACATTTGCAATCAAAATGACTAGACATTTTATGGCACTGTGACCCTTGGACAGGACTTATGGTTTTAACTCATCTCACATGAGTGTTAGAGAGAATCTTAGCATGGCCCATATAGCATGATCAATTATTTGTACATTAAATGTAAGAGGAAGTTACAGTTTTCTTTGCTTTTTAAATAGAAGGCATGTAGAACAATGATCGTTTCTTGTTTGGGTACCACTAAACAATAATGATACAATAACTTCCAACTTAATTCAAAACTATATAGCTGACCTTCTACCCTCAACTAATGCACAAATATCATGCTAAAATTATCTGCATGTGTCACCTGAAAGAACAACTTCCAACATCCTAACAGAAAAATCCCATAATTGTGAAACAAAACAAACAAGTGGTTCTAAAACTTACTAGGATGAGTGGTCTGAGGACGTTTCCAGAGGAGTGTTGCTTGCTGTACTCTGCAAAAGTCCAAACAAAGAAGTCATTGATACACAAAGAGATGCAGAGAAAGGAAAAAGGCTTGCTTAAGTCATTGAGACTACTATATTGGTCTTCGGGAGACACTGAGATTTCAGTTTAAATGCAGTCTAATACATCAATGTCTCTGCGGAAGACCAACAATTTTCTTGGGGTCCTTCGGGGCAGCAACAGGTTTTAAGCATAGCCGATGCCTTTTCATGGTGCCTACTCTATTGTCTGCGAATGAGTCATTGTGAATAAAGCCAAAAGCTAGAAGAGAGAACCAGCTGGGCCAGGACCAGGAGACACATGCTTATAATTATTTCCCAAGGCTTTCCCCCTACACCCTCCGCCCCCATTTTCTTTAAAGGTACATCACATTTCTGCAGCATAATACATTCCTCAGCGTTCAAATCAGTATCATCCTGCTAAGAAGAAAAGAAATGGCTAAGCCCGGGTTCCTTCCTTAAGGAGCAATGTCAGCTGCACAGGTTCAGTAGCAAAAGCCAGCTCCCATCAGCTCACTTTTAATCCAGCTAATGCGTCCTAGGCAATTTTGGAAGAAATACTATGTTTACCTTTTAGTCTGTCTCTCCCCCTGTCCCCATATACAGATTCATAAACTGGAAGAAATGCAGACGATATACAAAAGCTAATGAGGCCTTTGAAAGAGCAGCTTTCAAGTCCCAATCAAAATGATTGCAGCTTTAAAATAATAATAATAATAATAATAATAGGAGCATTACCGAATCAATCTTTCTAGTCTAGGATTAGTTCTCATCAGAACAGCGGCGATGGCTGCCCTGCCCAAGAAGGCCGCATCAATTGCAGCTTAAGGACAGTTGCATAAAACCTCGTGCGAAAAATCCAGATCTTGGGGTGGGCACAGCGTCCTGACATAAGAGTGGGGTATGTGTGAAAAAATGTGGGAAGGCAGATTGCTTGAAAGGCACAAGATGGTGACGTGACGTCAACCAAGAATTTCAAGCCGATTGCCGCTGCCTATTCATGTGAAAAATAGTGAGGGGCTTTTGTAGAGACACCAAACTCTACACAAACCCTAGAAAAGGGGGAGGGGGAGGGGGAAACACTGTAGCTGAAATGGATTTCAAGCCAGATTCTCAGCATCATGTTTTATCATTTCTGACAGCTACACAGCAAGCCATGCAATCAGAATGGTTGGGGCATTCTGTACCCGAGCCTCATTTAATAACCGTCCAGCAGTGAATAGAAGAGAGCAGAGAGTTGGGAAACAGGAATTGGCAGCATGAAAAGAAGCGGAAATACCTTCGGTGGCTTTTTATCTGGTGCTTTATAAAGCTTCTCCATTTGTTCTAAATCTGCCTCTAACTCAGTCTGGTAGAGGTAAATGTCTTTTTCTAGATCAGTCTGGTTAAAGAAGGAGAAGAAGAATGGGAAAAATAATGCTTAGGGTTAGGGGAAAACAAAGGAATGTTAATTTTGAAATAAAAGAGCCTTTTTATTAAAAAAAAAAGACAAAGATGGTACAGATAAGACACAGAAATTCATCACTTTTCAATAATCACAGATGCAATGATTTTAGGCATTTAACATTTACATTCAGAGATGCGCCAGGCCTGCTGGAATGTAATTGTAAAAACCACAAGTATCATAAAACCCACCTGTACAAAAACTAAACAACAGATAATACTGTAACATAGATGCAATATGCTGTTAGTACAGTTATCATTGCAGGCCAAGAAAGCAAAACAACCACTCAGCTTTATGGCAGATTATGTTTTAAGGACTACTTATTGAAACAATTTACTGGCCAACTTAATTGTTAGGATAATGCGTTCATGCCAAATTAAAAAAATTAGAGTCATCACCCACACACTCACAAAGCCCAAACGATGTCAGAGAAAAAAACCACACACACACAGAGTATACTGCGGTACAACATATGTGAGACAGAATTACCTTTCTATCCTCCCTAGTAAGTATAGAGCAATCTCCAGGAGTATAATCCCATATCTTTTTTGGAGGCTGATGGAAAGCAGAGGAGGAAATGAGGAAATGAGGATAAGGAAAGACATCACAGAGAATATGGAAACTGGATTAGAACACAGGGGGATACATTAGGGATTTGCATCAACACTGAAAATAAAATTAAAAAAAAAAAAGAGAGGAAAAAAAAGGACAATCTGCTGTAGCACAAATACCGAAGATTAAGGAAGGCCAAGGGCACATGCACAATTTAGGGAGAGGTGTTTTCAACACTGTCTGAAGCCATTTTTTAATTTTTATAAGATGTTTTCATGGATTTTGCACCCCCCAGAGGGAAGGCACAGGCAGTTGTAAAGCATTCGAAACAAAAAATACCCCAAAACAACAAAACAACAAAAAAGGAAATCACAGTAAGAACAAAGTTTTTGCTTGCTCATTCTTCTTTTCAAAAGGAAGGGGTAGAACAAGGGCCTTTCATAAATAAAAAGGAGATATATTTCCCCCCTCCATCCCTGCTCCCAACTGTGAACACAGACCCCGCTAATGAATGGCTGAATTCCCAGTGCTGGCATTGTAGAGCAATGAGAATGCACAGGTGTTATTTTTCATTTCACCTTTTTGGAGGGGATGGGGGGTAATGAACTTTGTAAAAGAAAATTCAACCTACATTTTATGGCTTTGGGGTTTCTGTTTGCTTGTTTTTAACTATGGTGGGATCGGTAATGTTGCCGAGGCCTGTTCAGAATGAAATCCTTTTCTCATGATTTCCCTTGCTAATTGGATAATGCCGTGCTACACACACTTCCCAACAGCACAGCTCCCATGTATGGGTGAAGCAGCTGCAACAACTGTCTATTCCCGGGGTGGCCAATCTGTGACTCCGGAGCCACATGCAGCTCTTCAGAAGTTAATATGCGGCTCCTTGGATAGGCACCGACTCCAGGGCTGGAGCTACAGGCGCCAACTTTCCAATGTGCTGGGAGCTGCTCGCTGCTCAACCCCTGGCTCTGCCACAGGCTCTGCCCCCACTCCACCCCCTCCCCTGAACCTGCCGTGCCCTCGCTCCTCCCCTTCCCCCCCCATAGCCTCCTGCACACCACAAAACAGCTAATCGGGAGGTGCGGGCAGAGGGGGGGAGATGCTGATCGGTGGGGCTGCTGGTGGGTGGGAGGCCCTGGGCGTGGGGGGCTGCTGATGTATTACTGTGGCTCTCTGGCAATGTACATTGGTAAATTCTGGCTCCTTCTCAGGCTCAGGTTGGCCACCCCTGGTCTATTCTCTCTCAGTGAATCCAGAATAAACTTGCCGATCATGTTACCAAACAGAAAAAACATCACTTCTTGTTTTACAAACAGAGCACAGTCCTAGGTGTTTACACTGTTCACACAGCTGTGGTATCTGAACACCTGAGAGTCATTGATTGAGACTAGAGAGAGCTCACCAATGTCAGTTTTAGTGGAGGTGGAACTGAGCAGCAATCTTGCTCTGAATTTCAGCTCCTGATCTGAATTTCTCCCAAGTTCTGGGATTGACTGGATCTGGGTTTCTGGATTGGGCATATTTCTACTTTTTTCTGCCACCTTTTGGGCTGCAGACACTATAAATGACTATTACGAATCCCAAGAGGTCTGTGGCTGCCAGTCATCAGTGTTTAGGGCTACGGAAGACAGCCTTGCAGAGTCAATAGGGGTCTCCCTTTTCTCAGCTCCCGCTTCCCAGTATCAGAGCAAAGAGCCAAACTGCAACTGCCTTACAAGTGTTTGGGTGAAGGTGCTGGTGTGCATTTGACAAGCCGATGGAACTATTGACTGAATGTTATATTCTGTGGACAGGTCCTGAGGAAAATCAAAATTAGGGAATAAGCATGTGGGGTGTGAGGTGGAAGAGTCTCAGTGACATACCCAAAAGGAGTCCATGCTGCCAAAGTATCCTAAACTCTACAGGGACTGAACATCGAATCCCACTCAAACAACTGGGGTATTGCCTGCACGGTCCCATGGGACTGGCTAGGAATGGATTGGCAATCCTGAGCCTCACCTCATCCATCCCAGGATGACTGCTGAGACTTGCTCAATTTCAAAGTCATTTTAACAGGGGACCTCTGATTAAACATGATTTAGCAGTGACATTCGATGACCTGGCCTTCTAGCAGCCTGGAGGAGTACTACTGCTGAGAGCTGTCAGCTGCTTTTTCAGACCAAGCGAGCAGCAGAGCTCAGCTTACAGAGCAGAACTTCAGTGAAGCATTGTTCAACTTGCCACAATTTCCAGTGAGGGACAGATTACTCACAGATTAAAAGATCACACGTTGCATCAATGCACAGTGTGCACAGATCACGCGTGCGGACTCACAAGGCAGTTCCATCAGCCAAGTGGCTGCACAGCTATCACGCTACCATCAGAAATTTTCAAGACAGAAATATGAGGGAGCAGTTACAGCTACAGGGGACACCTGGAAGTCCCAGAACACAAGACAGAATGGGCTAACAAAGCTACCATTGTGCACCTAGGGTCAAATGTTTAACTGCAGCGAATCTCATTCACATGCATAAGGTTAAGATGATGGAAAGGATTTCTTCACCAGGATCCCTTAGGATTAACTTAATTTCTTCTGAATGCAGGAGAGAGGGGAGGGAGTCGTGGGAGGGATGGATGGAAGTCTTTGGCAGGACTGTAGCAAGAAGGCCATTGGTGGGACTGCAGCAGGAACTGGAAGGCATTGGTGGGCCTTGCTCCTTCTTATCTTCATTTTTCTACTTAGACTCCTTGCAGGTTCATTAATGCAGGGGGAACTTCTCAGTGCTATGTACCCAAGTGGTTGCAAAATACAGTTACCTACCTTTCGTAACCTGTTCTTCGGGATGTGTTGCTCATGTCCATTCCATGTCATGTCAGGTGTGCATGTGCTGCATACACCGTTGCCGGAGAGTTTTCCCACAATGGTCTCCTTAGGGCTGGCTCTATCGCCCGTGGAGGCCTGTACTCATGCGTCGGTATAAGGGTGCCACCAGCCCCTGGCCCTCTCAATTCCTTCTTGCCATCAACTCCAAGGGCGGGGTAGGAGGGAAGGTCATGGAATGGACATGAGCAACACATTTTGAAGAACAACAGTTACAGAAGGTTAATAACTGTATTTTCTTCTTTTCAAAAGGAAGGGGTAGAACAAGGGCCTTTCATAAATAAAAAGGAGATATATTTTCCCCCCTCCATACCCGCTCCCAACTGTGAATACAGACCCTGCTAATGAATAACTGAATTCCCAGTGCTGGCATTGTAGAGCAATGAGAATGCACAGGTGTTATTTTTCATTTCACCTTTTTGGAGAGGATGGGGGTAATGAACTTTGTAAGAGAAAATTCAACCTACATCTTATGGCTTTGGGGTTTTTGTTTGCTTGTTTTTAACTATGTTTTAACTCTTCCATGTCATGTGACTCACAAGCAGTGTCCTTGGAGATGGGATAGGAATTCATGGGCACAGCTCTTCCAAAATTGGCATAATCTCTGGCCTGTTGGGTGATGGCATAGTGGGATGCAAACATGTGGACCAATGACCATGTCACGGCCCTGCAGCTGTCCTGGATCAGAATATGTGCCAGGAAAGCTGCTGAAGATGCTTGTGCTCTTGTAGAACGGGCTTTCACGATGGCCAGAGGCAGGACCTTCACTTGTTAATAGCAGGCCTGGATACAGGCTGTGATCCAGGATGAGATCCTCTGGGATGACTCCAGGAGACCCTTTATTCTCTCCATGATAGCAACAAAGAGTTGTGTCAATTTGTGGAAGGGACTTGTCCTGTTAATATAAAAGGCTAATGCCCTTCTAATGTCCAGGGAGTGTAACTGTCGCTCCTCTTCTGTCTTGTGCAGTTTGGGGAAGAAGACAGGCAGGAAAATGTTTTGGTTGACATGAAACTGTGACAGCACCTTGGGTAGAAAGGCGAGGTGGGGACACTGTTGGACCTTATCTCTGAAGAAAACAGTATAGGGAGGGCTCCAAGGTCAACTCAGAAACTCTCCTGGCTGAAATGATTACTACCAGGAAAGCAACCTTCCAGGAGAGAAGCAGCAAGGAGCAGGATGCCAAGGGCATAGACAGAACCAGGTTTAAGTCCCAAGGTGGAACTGGTCACAAACCTGGGGGTAGAGCCTCTCCAACTCCTTAATGAAGCTGCTCATCATCTCCTGGGTGAAGACCAGTCTGTCTCGGATTGGGGGCGGGAATGCTGAGATGGCTGCCTAGCGAACCTTGATTGATGAAATCAATGAAAGACCTTAGAGATATTCTAAGATGGACTGCAAGGAGGGCTGTGCTGGGCAAAGGCTCCTTTCGGCTACTCAGCAAGTGAAGCATTTCCACTTGGCCAGACAGGTGGCCCTGGTAGAGGGCATTCTGCTACCTAGCAAAACCTGATGGATCTGCTCCAAGCATGCCCTCTCCTCAGGATTTAGCCAGGCAGCAGCTACGCTGTCAAGTGTAGGCCTACGAGGTTTGGATGGAGGAGCCTCCCATGATCCTGCGATAACATGTCTGGCCTGAGAGGGAGCAGCTACTCTCTGTGAGATCTAGGAGCATGCTCAACCAATGCTGGCGAGGCCATGCTGGGTCTACCAGGATGACCTTTGCCTTGACCCTTTTGATCTTTAGTAGAACCTCGCAAACTAGGGGAATCGGAGGGAAAGCATACAGCAGGCTGTCCGACCATGATCATAGGAAGGCATCTGAGAGAGAGCCTTTGCCTTGATCGAACCTTGAGCAAAAGCAGTGACATTTCCTGTTCTGCACAGTGGTGAACAGGTCCACCTGGGGAGTCCCCCACCTCTGGAAGATTACACTGGTGACCTCTGAGTGGACAGACCACTCGTGGTGAGAGGAGAAGGACCTGCTGAGGCAATCCGCTGGCATGTTCCGCTCCCCAGGAATTGGCAACGCCTCCAGGTGAATGGAATGCTTCACGCAGAAATCCCATAGACCGAGGGCTTCCTGGAAGAAGATCTTGGAATCTGCCCCTCCTTTTTTTTGACATAAAACACTGACGCT